TTACGTGTCCCGTCCCGTCGCCCCCCCACCCGAGTTAACGTGCTAGCTCATCAGTAGCAATTCTGAACCCTGTTACAAAGTACCAGTAGGGAATCTGACCAGGATTAATAGTGGTACTCAGTCCTGGGATTAGGTGGTGTCTTATTTCATGGATTTTAGGCCATCTGTTCTTCCCTCCTACATTATACTCCTGCAGAACTATAAACGCACCTCCACCTCAGGGACTATAGAAAGGAATTAGAATTCTTCTGCTTTTCATTATCACAAGATTCAGTAACTCATTTCATTGTCAGGATAATCCCCTTTTACTCTTTCTTTTGCGCTTGCAGGGTATGCCAAAATGACAAATAAAATCCCAGATGTTAGAGACCTGATGAGGTCTCCACCTTTTCTTGAGTGTTGGTTTTAAGCTACTTGGGACATGGTGTCAAGTCTGACAGGACCCTGATGCCCACACCCAATATTCATTAAGGTTTGTTAGTGATTTGTATAGCTGTCTACAAGCTGCACTTCCACCTCAATCCTCAGTGGCCATTTAAATATTTAGTTTGTCCTCTGGCTTTTACTGACAAAGAATTAATTTCCTATTGTTCAAGTGTTGGAAAGAGTTTATATTTCTTTCTAAAAGTAACAAAGGTCTTCTGGGTGTTGTAAATGGCTTGTTACTGCTGCATATTATTTTAGGTAGTCATATCTAATTTAATGTTTTATTTCCCCATGGGCTAACTTGCATATCTGCAGCATCCAAAGGCTATGACAACGCCTTAGCAGAGTTTTCTCGAGAGACTCAGTTAACTCCAAAATGAAGTTTGGTCTTTGCTCTACACCAATTAATAGCTGCACTTAATTTTTAATATTTCTGTGAAGTATCTTAAGTATGTAGTTTCTTTCAGGTTTAGTAAAAATACTTGTGATTATCATATGCTCAACTAGTGGGGTATTTCCCCCCCCCCTTATTTGTATGCTAAAGTAATCATCTCTGCATACGGGACGAAGGGCTGGGGAATTCTGTTTGTGATCTTCGGAATATTTTATGTCCGTAACTCTCTCAGTTCAGACACTGAACAGCAAGACTTCCCTCCTGTGTCCAGCCAGAGCAAAATAAGGCTCCACCGAGAGGCTACAGGCTTCTTGCTGTCTTTCACTCTGTGGAGAGCACAGTCCTCAACTTCTCTCATTAATCTGCTCTTTTGGCAGGTAGGTAGTGCTAATTTCAACACCAAACCTAAATTAACTGAAAGCCATATGTTTAGAATGTCATTCTATTTCCTAGTATTTATTGCTAAAAATTATTTCAACTTTAACGGCATGTGACTGTTCTGGAGCAAGCTACATACCTCAAGTGTGATACCAAGCAATCTAAAATCTGACTGGGTACATGACACTCGAGAGCTCTAGCCACTTTGTAGAAGATGCCACATACTTCAGAGGACAAAAATCACTGAACCAGGTCTAAAGATAGTTCTTCAACTTGGGGTTTTCATCAACAGTACAATTCAGCTGCCAAAAATGAGCTAAATGTTTGTTATTTGCTTGTATGAAATGGGCACAAGTTTTAACTTGTAACTATAAGCCACAAAATATAAAATGACCACAGATAATTATTTCATTTAACATCAGTATGACTTAAACTCCTGCCCTTAGGGGGATCAGAAAAACTATACTGATAGCCTCTTCTAAAGTAAAATTAACAGTATCTTTTTTTGGAAAAGGGATTTTGTTTTGGTTTGTTTTTTGCCAATACACTGCATCACTTTCTACAATAGCATTACTTTACTACAAAACCAAAATACTTGGGATTTCACCATAAGTACAGAGGAGAACATAAGTATTCTAGCAGAAATAGTAACCATGTTGTTATAAGTAACCTTGTATTAAAACATGAAAAATGTCCAAAAAATGAAGTCCCTTGACACACTAAAGGTTTGGGGTTATATAACAATGCAGCAGGATATGTAGAAATGGAGGTGTTTTAATTTGATCCAACTGCAATGTGAGTATTCAACACCTACAATTTATTTTGTTAGAAGTGAAATAATTCAACTAATTAGCCCCCCTGTTTTTCAGAAGCTACATCTTTTTACTTTCATAAGAAATCAAGAAGAAAAGCTAAAACAGAAGGCCTTTAGCTTCCATGATTAAACCAGGAAAGTCTAGAGGGAAAACTGATAATTAAAAAAAAAAGTTATACGGCAAGCTGCTTACTTAATTTCAGCTAAAAAAAAATCAAAGCATTACACAAGGTCACGCACTTTTGTTTTCCCCCTATAAGGGAGGAAAAATGCTGACAATACATTCTTGTGAGGTTTTTTTGCTAAATAATTCCTAGCAAATAGGATTCCTTACAAACCAACTTCATCTCCTACATTAAAACTCATCTGGAAAAGGGGTCGTTTACACTGTTTATAAAACAGTGCCACATAAAATGTGTAAAAAAGCCATATTTCACTAAAAATAGCTTGCGTAAGTAAGGGATTAGAGTAGTTTCTACTGCTGTAATTGTTCCTTTGTAGTTTTTTCCATGATGTTTTTGAACAGTGTTTTTAACTATGTTTATTAAAGTCAGCACATCAAAAAGGATCAAAGAGAAAGCTAGTGAGAACCAAAGAAACCCCAAGTGTATTGTGTTGTCTCACTGGGGAGTTATGCAGATTCAAGTAAACAAGTGCAAATTGTTGAGGTTTTAATGAAAATTTTCTACAATTATTGTATCTGAAGTCATTCTATATAATAACATCTGTACAGCAGATGGCCATACTGTACAAAAGGCAAGTAATGCTCCTTTTTCTTCCTCTGTTTTAACAGTACATCTGAGATGACTACTTTTGTCATTGTGCTTAGTTTGGTTCAGCAAATAATTCGTAAAATGCAGCTGCTGCAGATGGTCACAATAGTTATTTGACTGTAAAATCAAAGACACAGTGAAGTATTTGCGTATTAGTTTCATTCTATAAAAAAAAAAAAATCTGACATTAACCCTGTTCAGCTCAAAAGGTATATCTATAAAACTTTTTGTGAAAAGAAAAACTAGTGAAGAACCGACATGTTTAAATAGTCCTTGCTCCCAAGACACAGCTACTGCACTTTTTTTTTAATTGAGTTAGCTTGCATAATTTCTTTGCAATAATAAAACAAATCTAGTTAGTAATTGTGGTATTCATCTAAAGTATTTTTTAACACAAGATTATAATACCATTTCCCCCACACTGAGTAATTTATCTTCTTCCCTGAAGTTACGATTTCCACTTTGGTTTCTATCAGCACTTTCAAATTAATAATTTCAAATAAAAACCCAAACAATTTATTAAAAGGATTTTTGACAGTTTCAATCAGTTTTGCAGAAGTGTATCTTTTGCACTTCTCGAACTTAAAACAATTTATTGCACCATCACAGTGGCATGCAAAACCTCATGCACATGTATTTTTCTTTTTATAAAGCAAAGATAAGGCAACTTTAACTGGAAAAAAATGTGAAAAGTGTCTGTTGATGTCTATTTATTGTCTGGTTATGAAAGTTCTTCATATAGAATAAGTAATTTACCTTTTCATTAGATTCAGCATCACTATTGCTTTACTTAACAACGCTTTCCCGACTACAAACATACTGAAGTTTCATGTATAGCTTGTGACATGAAAAATAAAGACTGGTTTCCTCAGACTGCCAGAAGAATTAAGAAACAGAACTTTGTAGCAGAATGCTTCTGAGGTTTAACATGCAAGGCAAGGTACATCCTCCTTCTGGGAGGATGAAAAACACCAGGGTAAGTGATATACACTGCTGAGTTTGCCAAATTGCTTTATACTACAGTGACGGAACGGGCTCGGCTTTGATATATCGAAGCTTGCTGTGGATACCATAATGTACCATGGGACGGATAATGTACAAATGATAGAGGGGAAGTGATGGAAGGAACGAGGATTATTACACAGAAAGAAAACTAGAACTATTTAAAGGACATTAGAAAGGCCTTTTACTCAGTTGCAGTGCTTTCTATGCTAGCATTGCAATCTGATTGGAAAAGCGTGGGAACGCAGGCACTGTTCCTGCCTGTACTGCTGTTTATTTATGGATAAATCAAGAGTTTCAGGCTCCAGCACTTTCACAGGCTTTCATGTCCTATGAACCTGAAATTTTTCATTTTTAAGTTTTAAAAACAATAAAGAATCACTGAAACTTGCTGGCCTGAGGAGAAATATTTCTGATGAAAAAGAAATAAATCACCACCTCACTTGGCCTACAACTTGTTCCTCTCAGCTACAGGCCATTTTACCTTGCAAGCTACTCTGCCAACTACCTACATCTGGCTCATCTCCACATCATGTAAATGTACCATCTTATTAATTTTATTAAAAGACTAATAAAACAATTTACAAAGACACTCAAAATGTCTTCATTTTAAATGAGTCTCTGGTATCCTGTTAATTGTACCCAAGGTGTAAAGTTTCCTTGCAGTTCTGCAGTAATGAGGCTGGAGCGCCTTTTTTCCCTGGGTGACTCTCAGCTGTGCAGAGGAAGCATGTAAAAATTTAAAACTTCATAATCCTGGAGGAGAATAATGGTATGACCCAGTATTTACATAGTAGCATATGTCAGGGCTCTGAACAATTATTTTTGTATTTTTTTAAAACAGAAATATAGGGTCTTAATGAGAAAATGTAGTTATAGAGTGAAAACGATCAAAATTTTGCCCTTTGAAATATGTGCTGAATTATCAGAATACCAGAATAGTGGTTCTTGTAACCACTATTTCAGCCAGAATTCCAACAATAAATTAGTAATTACAAACTAGGGGACATTAACTACAAAATTAAGCACTCTTGGGTGCTGCCTCATTGAAAGGAAGACTCAGGTAATGGAGTCTGTCAGGGATTTGCTATTTTCTGTTTTGGATTTATTATGTTAGCTAGAGGAGTTCCCCTCAATGCCCCATGCTTTAAAATGGTTACTAGACCACCACTTGAACAGAGCAGTAGCACTTCCAACTTTCAAAAACTCTTACCTGCAGTTTTATGTCCACTTTTAATATTCAGGCTCCCACTGAGGTTTGATAAAGAGACTAACAAACAAGGTTTACTGGGATGTGGGATGGTTTCCATCGAAACAACCATTTGCACGGTGTGAACGGAAATTTTCTGGAAGCAGGAAAGGGCTTGCCACAAGTTTTCTTGTACTGAAGCCTTCTGCGCAGCATTGGTGTGTGCTGCAGGTAGCAAATCCTTTGTACTGGGGTGTTTGGCTATGGAAGTGACATCCTCATCTGGAGTAACGCCAGCTGATGGAGCAGCCTCCTTCCTGGGCTCATCATCATTTGTGGTTACGATTTTCTTCACAAACTGGTTTATTTGATCAAGCCTGACAAAACTGAGATTTGCTTTCAAAGGTTTAGATATGTCCACATTTATGTCGGCTGTAGGAGAGAATTGGAGAAAGAAATATGAGAAGCTACAGTGCATTTATTCAAGCCATGTAAAAATATTAGGCATTTAGTGGAGACAACATTATTTCTATCATGTTTCATTAAAAGGACTGAATCAATGGTAAAACATAATGAAACAATATTTTTAGGAATAAATCAGAATTAAAACATCATGAAAAGTATTATAAGCAATCTTCACTATATACAGTTTTAAAGGAAGAAACATGTCACAATACCGATCTTACTTCTTTGTTTCTTCCCAGGGATCACCACAGCTATCTGAAAGACACACACTTTATTCGAGTGTGTAGGAGGGTAAATACATTAGTCCTTTTGTGTCAGAATGAAAATATACTTCACTTTCTCTTGAGTTTTACATCCAGTAGAACTATTTGACTAAACTCCAAAGCCAACAGTGAACATTTTCAACACATTTAAATGAGTGAATAACATGTATATTCTGTTTTTTCCTACACAGCTAATATGCAGTATTCTTCAGTGCATTTTCAAGATGAAGTGTGAAGTAAAAAGCAAATATGAAAACTGAGGTATGTTTAGATTTCTTTGTTTTCCAGGGAGATTGGAATAGCCTAATATTTTTAAAATGTTCTTTGTCTCCTTAGTAAAGGATTTTGGTACTTCCCAGACTGCTAAAAGTTTAGTTTTAGAAATCACAACTAATATGAACAACATTGACAACAGTGATATTTTAGTAGCTGAGACGTTGCAATTACCAAGACTATTTCACAGATGGGAAGCAGGATTTTATGATGGTTGAAACTTACTTCTCTGATGCTTTCTGCCTTTTTATCAGTACATTACACTTCGTTACAGAAATCCAGCTTTAACTTAGCTTTTAAAAGTTTTCATTTCAAATTCAGCTTTCGCCCAGTAATGAGACAGCTACTCTGGGCAGGGGAAAAATTCTGCTTTTCACTTTGCTGTTTGATTCCCACCACCCCACCCCCAAGAACCAATAATGATTAAAATTCTGTGCATATATCTAAACTAGATTAAGCATGCGGAGAGAACAGCACTAGTTAGTTTCAAGTTTCATTACAAGTATATATAGGAAACACTGTTTGTTGAAGGTTTTACACAGATTAATGAATATTTCACCAAAATTAGGACCTAGTTTCAAGTTATCCAGGATCATGTTCTGCTCTTAACGCTGATGCAAACTGATGAGCTTGATTCTCCCACTCTTTAGGTAAATTCCAAGTTTTTACAATGCTCAAGGGCTGCAGGAGCAGAGCTTCAGAACTGCTCTTACGCACAGGTTTATACTGACTTCAGAGAGTCCCAGGCATACGACAAAGCACTTTTCTGACTGCCGAAAATATCTAGGGGTTCTAAATTTCAGTTAGATGCTTTGGTATCTGAATAGGTAAGTCTCTGAATTATAAACTAGCACTTTTTCTACAAAGATAAGAGAAACTTATTAATGGCCATGTAAGATTTATTATAGCTGAACTAAAAATCCCAAAACAATCTTAGAAAAAAGTCTGCAGTACTCCACAAGCCACAGCTAACTGAAACTTAAGACTGAAAAACCTATTTTAATTGTAAGTTATAATTTCAATTAATGGTTTTCTGAAAATGCTTTCTCTTGTGTTAAACCCTTCCGTGCTGAACTAGAAACTGTGACAAAATACTAGCTAACACGTGGGCCTAGCAGAAAGGCAAGTATCAAAGCTAGAAAGTTGGACATTAGAAGAGAGCAAGATTTTTAGGCATCCAAAACCACACATGATCAACTTGGAAGATTTTTAAAATACTTCTCTACAAATATTTTAATTAAAACCAAGGGAAGAAAAATGTCACAACACTTTTGAACATCTCTCCACCCTTCTTGGCGCTAAAGAATACCCCAAGACTCGCCTGCCTTTTTGCACACATGATTGGTCCTCTCCTCCCTTTGAATGGAGAAAGGAGACTTACAAAGAAAGTAGAGACCCATGTGACATTACGATACTAATACTAATTTACTTACGATACTCAAATGGAAATGAGTGTTATTCTAATGAAATGTTCTAAAACAAACAAACAAAACCCGCAAACAAATGAGCAGCATTTTTAAAATGACCTAAGCTTGAAATCCAACTCACACTAGGATTTGGACTTCTGAACCATTTAGGCACTTTCAAAACAAGTCCCTTTATTGACTTAATTTTCTCCATTAGTGATGTAGTAATAAAGGAGTAAAATAGAATAGATGTTCTTGGCTTCGCTACATAATTAAGTTTGAAAGTCAGTAAATGAGGAAAGGACCCTTATTACTTGCTGTGACAGCTTTCACATCTAACTGCTTTGTCAAAGGCACGTTTTATTGCCAACACTTTCCTATGGTAGTATAGCCCAGAACAGGAAAAAACCACAAAAACCCTATAACCCCAAAACTGCTTAGACATAAGTTGTTAGAACAGGTGTCAAGCTAAAGCCAGAGAGTAAACTGATTGAGAAAGATATAAAAGGAGATTAATATGAGAACAGTAGTTCTCTCTTGGGCTTCCTCAGGCCAGGGCAGAGAAGACACAGGGCGCTGGTGAAGCTCAGTGGTGGAACACGCAGGGCACCTGTGGCCCTGGGCCTGTGTTTTATCACTGCTATTAGTCCCTTCTTTTCACAAACACTGTACTCATCCAAAAGAGCAATAAAAAAATAGACACTAAGACACCAGAGAAATGCAAATGACTTCCCTGTTTTCTGGTTGGAAACCGCACGTCACACAGAAAAACGTTGTCATGACTGATAACTTGACAAAGATTCGTATTGAGTTGTTATTACCCAGTGGATCAGCCCCGACAGAAGGTGGTGGCAGCCAGAAGCATAATTGCAAACAATGTAACTCTGGAACCTTCACTGCACATATTTTAACTATCTCATAATGACATAGGTTATTTTTACAACTGGGGAAATATTATGTAAGGAGATTCTTTGGCATTTTAAGTAAAATGTTCAAAAAATAAAAATCCAATTGAGCAATCAACGTGTTTTTAGTCTTTGTCCTGTTTTACACTTTATACTTAGCGCTGTAAAAGACACTTTAACATTCCTTCTAAGAAAAACATATTTAAGTGATGGACAGAAACAGTGAAAACTGATGAAATATGAAGAGCTATTTATAGCAGTTGATGAAGATAGATGTTCAGCAGCTTCTCCAGTCACTCAAAATGGGCTAAAAAGAGATGTTACAATGTCAAGGGTCACCTAGATGCAGATGGAATAAAATTTCCAGGGTGCAAAATCAGTCTTTTTAGATGATTTTAAACACCTTGGGAAGCATACCACACAACACTGTGCACATTCTGTACTGGTAGGAAAACACGGATTCCTATAATGCAAACAACTCTTTGAATTGTCCAATATCATATCAGAATCAGGACAGGGCAAAATGTAGCTCAAAGCCACCTTTAACTCCTCAATTACATCAGTCTCTCCTTTGCCTACTAGTGACTCGCTACCACAATTATACCCCAATGCTTTCTTTAGATTTAAGGCATAATAGCAATAACTTATTTTGCCAGGTGTTATCTATTTCCAGGAAATAAATAGCAAAGAAATTACTGTGCATGTAAACAGATTGTGTGCGAGTGAGTTATTTCTGGTTATGTTTAAATCAGACTGAACTAGATGCTATCAAAGCAATATTTTATTACAGTGTAGCATTTGAATTGTTCTTTCTCTCTCTCAATTTCTTCACTACATCTCTTTAGATTACCCAGTAAATCCATGTCTGTCAATTATTAGTTTCTAATTACCCTTCACAACTTTCTGAACAGCTACTAGGAAACAGAATGATGAAATAACTATTGAGTTAAAAGGAGATTAGATAAATATAAATAAATTACACTTATTATATGCTCCCACCACACCAGGAGATGACTTAACAGCAAAAGGAAAAGAATCACGTTGCAATAATGAAATCAGAGAGGGAATTCAGGTCCCAGAGGCGATTCTATGGAGTTTATGTTAATGTACACCTTGTGGGGGACAAAAAATCAACTGGAATAGTTTCCTGAAAACTGTTTCCAGCTATTTGCTCATTTAAAAAGTTCCAACTTCACTTGACCCATTAGTCATCATATTACTTACATTTATTATGTATTTTGAAATCTATTACAAAAAACCCAATGGATTCAATATGGCCTGTTTGAACAAAATCATAACATCTATAAAAGAAAACCTGTAAGCAGCACTCTGAAATTTCTGTCTGAAACAATTTCTTTCTTTGTCATTTTATTACTTAGCTTCAGATAAAAAAATTTCAGAGTTATGAGTATTTTACCCTTGTTCTCCATAACATTCAGATTTGTACTGTGAAGATATAATTTTATTCTGTGAACTTTGGGATAATGCTATTACTCAAAAGGACTTTTTATTTGGTGGGCTAAGGATGAATAAGCAACACAAAAATAACAGAGCTCCTAGCAAGCTGCTTTAGCTCAATCCCAGCTCTTACTGAAGTCAGTGGGCTTATTCTAATATATACCATGACTTAATGTGCACCAGGTTACTATTTCTATGACTAATAAACTACGACAGTATACTCTTAATCTGAAAAACCAGAAAGTAAACTCCATGAAAATTATTTATAAGCTTTATTTATAAGACTGGGATCTTTTCACAGACTATGAGAAATGTTGAACTGCGAGAGAGAAAAATGTGGCATTTTCCAAGAATTTGTTCACTTCTTGTACCCCTCATTCTGCAGGGGATCGTTTATTTCTCATAGCTAATATAGGAAAGGCCAGGTCTTTCTTCCTCAGGTTGGTCATGGGTCTCACTCTCCCCTACCCCAAGAAGGCTGTAAAATATTAAACTTCTTAATAAATAGTACTGCTATAGAAGAAACTACTATTTGCCCTATACTCTTAGGAGGATTGAATTTCCTGGTCCTAAACAGGAGAGCAGACAACAGGCATGGAACATTTTACCACCAGTAACATTCTTTCTTTCTGGGAGCCACCCATCCTGATGTAAGGAGTCTA